CGGGCGGGCTACCTGTGCGGTGGCCGGTTCCGGAAGGTCAGTGGTTGGGTTTCTGGCCCCCTCTCGCAGCGAGCCGAGCCATGGCGAAAAGCTTGAGGAGCAAATGGAAGAGGAAGATGCGAGCCGAGAAGAGGCAGAAGAACGCGCCCAAGGAGCTCAGCCGCTTGAAGAGCATCCTGAAAGCAAACGCCGACGTGGTGATGGCGGAGGTTAAAGAAATAGCGACAGTGGTTACCCCCGAGAGCGCCCCGGATCAAGGGGGTGAGTTTGATTTTAATGGTGCAGTGTTATTTAGGTGCTCTGGAGGAAAATACACTCCAGGGGCTGAAATGTACAGGGTTCCTGGCTGGTACCCCCCTCCAGCCCTTCCACAGACTCCCTGTGTGCCACCCTCCCTTCTCTCTTTATTTTGTGGACTCCTTTGAAACCACTTCTTCTCTTGTGATCTTCCCCCTTCACCGCTTTTCTGGGTTTCAAGCCTGGAATTGAGTAGCACGGGGAATTTCCTTAAAATAGGGTTACCATATTTGAAATTTCAAAAAAGAGGACACCCCTGAGCAGGCACGTATCTATATCAGCATCTACAAACTCACTGTTATATTATTTGCTATATATGTGTGAGCTGGTAGATACTGATACAGATGAACTTTCAAAAAAGAGGACACCCCTGAGCAGGCACGTATCTATATCAGCATCTACAAACTCACTGTTATATTATTTGCTATATATGTGTGAGCTGGTAGATACTGATACAGATACACTCCCTCTCAGGGGTGTCCTCTTTTTTGAAAGTTCATCTGTATCAGTATCTACCAGCTCACACATATATAGCAAATAATACAACAGTGATATGGTAGATGCTGATATAGATACATGCCTGCTCAGGGGTGTCCTCTTTTTTGAAAGTTCAAATATGGTAACCCCACTTTAAAAAAACCCAAATAAACTTGATTTTCACTCTAGTTGGTTCCAGTGGCCCTTTATTTCACCCATCAAAATTAGAGAAAAGACAGCACCCGTCGTCATAGCTCTGAACTTTAATATTCATTCATATTTTTTTATTCTAACAAAAGTGTTCATTTACTAGGTTCTGCTCCTAAATTCACTGGGTTTGCACATTCTCTCCCCTGTCCAGGAACTAGTTCCTGCTCTCAGCAACTGATACTTGGCTTGGGGAAGAGCATCTGTCCACAGTGAACACTACAGATTCTTTTGCCATGGCAAACAGCGTTATTTGGAAGGGATCATCCTATTTTCATTTTTGGGGGAGAACAAAACATCTCTTATGGAAACTGCAGATAATATTAATATAGAAACTAAAACTTTGTGGGATGTGTGAAAAAGGATTATTATTTTGGTTACTGTTTGTAAATCTAGTGTTTCTAAGTACAGGTTGAACATCTCTAGTCGAGCACTCTCATGATCTGATAGGTGTTGAGCCATGGGAAGTCAGTATTGTCTAGCAGCATTACCAACATTTCCACTGCTTACTGGCTTAGAAGACATGTAGGGCTAAATAACAGCACAGCACACTGAGAGCTAGGACTGGTGGCTATAAACAGACTTTATGGGACTGTGGGGAAACTTGGCCAAACCCATGAGGAATGGTTATCCTACTAACTGAACTCATGCCAGGCCATGGATTTTGCCAGACTAGAGAGGTTCAATCTGCATTCTATGAGAAGCTGATTCAGATGTTGATTTTTTTTTTGTAAATGCTCTTCTTTTTTCAGATGAAGTTAAGATGGAGACACAGGTTAAAAGAAACAAAAAGAATCTTTTAGACCAAAATGGACAATACCCAGTATGGATGAATCCCAGACAGAGGAAGAAACTTAAGGCAAAACGGGTTAAAGGGAAAAACAAACCCAAGATGGCCAAAGGATTAGCATGGTAGCTATGAAGAAATTTGAATGTTGGAAAAAAGATTATATAGACAATGGAGACTACCAAAGATTAAGAGTATTTGATCAGGTTGGGTCCCAGCTACTAAGTGTAAATTATCAGTAAGTCTGGAGACTGTTAGATCAGAAATTGATAAGAGACATTAATTTGATATCTATTTAATTTTAAAAGAAAATAGTTTCACCTGCTTGTGACCAGTATTTGTAGTTATGCATTTTTAAAATATTATTCTGACTTCTTGCTGTGTTGGCCTTGAACATAGAAACAACTGGAGAAACATGGAATCACTTATGTACAAAGGAAAACATGTTTAATTTTTCCTGTAATTTTACTGAAGTTGTTTTAATATTGAAATATTAAATTATGAAAGCATATTATGTGGCTTTTAATAGAAAACTATAAACTGAAATTCGCTTAAAAAAAAATATACATTAAATCATCTAAAGCCCAACACCAATAAAAATGTTGCTGGTGATTTAAAAAAAAAATTCCAATAGAAATGGTTATTAAGGAACGGCATTACAGTATTTGCAATTCATTACAGCTCTGAGACAAAATAGAGTTAATGGATTTTCATTGTCCATCTGAGAGATTTCAAAGGCACATTTTCCTGAACAGTTGTAATATAGGTAAATAAACACATTGGCAATACATGTGACTTAAGAAAAAGAAAAAAAAAGTAGATACCCTTAATTTGGTGTTCCTGTATCATACTTCACAGAGTAGACACAAGAGCCAAGTGTTGTGTGATGACAGAGCAAAAGCTGTTTTCATCCAGCTACATATTAATTACAGTATAACAGTTCAGTTATTAATTCACAGTAATATATAATGACAATTTTGAGTGTTATTCTTTACCTTTTATATTAAAAAAAAAAAAAAGCTCTTGCTTCAAAAATGGATATAATTAGGATCCCACTCATACAATATGATGCCCACTGAAGGATCTTTTGCCCACAGATCCACATTTGTGTAAAGTATATTGCTAGACTGAGACCTAAGTATTTTGATTACCCAATGGTTATGCATTGGTATATGTAATTACATGGTAATCTTGCAATACAAAGGAAATAAGATTCATGCTTTTAAAAATAAAGATATCCACTTAGAGTAGTACAGTATGCTAAAAACAAATAAATGTTGGACATTTTGGGTATAGTCATAAAATTAAAATGTTTTAGGTTTTTAAGACCATTTTTTTTAATTCATTAATTTTGGAAGGAGTAATCTATTTTTTTTCATTGCTCACATAAAATCAAGTGAGAATGTACCTGCAATATAGAACACTAAATGCATAGATGTTATTAGGAGGCAGAAGGTGAATGTCTATTTGAACATTATATTTGGGTCTGTTTCCTATAATGAGATTTCAGACTTGTTCTGGTTACTTAAGTAAATTGTTATAAGATTACCAAGTATTGTACAGTTAATATATATTGGCATTTGTACTTTGAAAATGTATTCATCTACGTATTTCATTACAGCTGTCATACTGCAAAACAGAAAATGCCACATGTATTTCAATATCAAATGTGAAAAGCCTTTTACATTTGAATTATCTTTAAATTAGCTAATAAAGAGAATATCCCGTCTTTAAAAAAATACACACAATTTACTGAGATTTTAAAAATGACAACCAGTTTGTATTTCTTCAATATTCATTCAATGGCCCACATTCTGTCTTGTATGTGTTCACCCCCATGAAGGTTTAAGGGTTTCTCAGCTGTAACTAAAGACAGAATATGGCTGTTTTTAGGACCAGCAGAGGGGGCTCAAAGCTTTGCCTTGTTTTTATGCTCTTCCACAAAAAAAGAAAAGAGATGATAAAATCAGGGTAATTTCAAGCTCCAGTATGCCGGTCTTGAGGGAGAGGAATCAGTGATTGCCAACTGTTCCAGGTTGTATAGACACGTGATCCAGGTATACCCTGGCACTCTCGATTTAATCTCTTCCCCATGTTCTACTTCAGCCTTTATTGATATCACTACAGGTAGGCATGAGCTGGAGCACTGAGCATTTTTCCAAGATTGAATGCTGTCTCAGGAAAATTGTCTTATTCTGAGGAGCATCAACAATGAATTGGGATGGGTCTGATGCCATATAACTTTATTTTGAATATACAGTCCACACCCCCTATGCTTTCTTGAACAGTTGTTTGTATGGCGAAGGTGTGAGAAGTCTAATTGCAATAAAGTGAAGGTTTGCTTATAGACTTTGTTTTTTCCTATTACATTCCAGCTCGGCTTCCCCCTTGATATTTTTATACCTACTGACTGTTGTTTCACTACCCCCCCATTTTTTCCTTTTCTCTTCCCCCCCGCTCCTCCCCCCATTTATTTTAGTTCTGCACATCCAACACTCTGGTCATCTGAAGAAGTGGGCTGTGCCCACGAAAGCTCATGATACCATCTACATGTTTTGTTAGTCTTTAAAGTAATACCAGGCTATTGTTTTTTAAGTTTATCTGGTACAGACTAACTTGGCTACCCCCTGAAGATTTATAATGTTATACTCTGTAAGTTGATGGAAAAAACTCAGTTCTTGTATCTGTTATAATTTTATTGTTCCTGGTTATGATCCCCCACACTGTACAAACACAACAAGCTATACAAGCTTACAAGCTAAGTGTTAAGACAAGACAATAGGCTACAAGAAATGATTTAAATAGTGTTGGCCAGTATGTTAGGCAATGTCTGTACAAGAACAGCCAGATGGTTATTAGGCTTTTTGTAAGCCTGGGAAAGAGGAGTTTTGAAGAACGATAAGTTAATTTTGTTACTGTTTATAGGAAACTCTTCTTAAGCATGAAGGGCTGTTTAGGAGAATGTACAATAGAAAGCAGGGTTTATCTTAAATATCTCTGTTCCAGAAAGGATTGGCGAACATTTTGATAGGTAGATGGTCTGATTAGAAAAAAATACTTTCATTGTAATTGACAAGTGTAGTGAGGCTCTCTCACATCAACCAAGTGGTAGTTTATGATTGCTTTTTTATCCAATTTATTTTTCCATAATTTTGAACATGTGAGTTTTGAAGTTGTTAGGATGTAGTTTCTATTGTATAACAGCACAAGAAAAGGATAAAGTAGAATTTTTAAAAAACGTATCTGAAATCCCCGGGCATTAGTTATCCTGACATTTCCTGCTACTGTAACCATTATACTGCAGCATAATATGTGCAGTATTAACAATTTCAGGGAACCAGAAAAAAGTAGGGAAATATGTTAGGTAATAATGAACTGAATTTATGTCTTTGTTCCAGCAGATGGGAAATTTTGAAATTTTATTTTTAATTCACTTTTGCATTTAAGTATCAATTATTTCTTGTCTGGGGAAAGGTAGTGAATAAATGGTCTGCCTAATAAATCTTTCCATCTCTAATGTTCTTAAGCACCTCATTACTGAATGATGTATTGAATGGTAAATATTGTATTGCTCTAAAAAAGAAAAAAAGTATAATCTCTGGATTGAAAATAGTGACAGTCTCTCACTCTCACTATTGTAAGGCTAGGGGAAGGGCAAAGGGTTTAGGGCCAGATTTTAGAAAGTATTTAGGTATCTAAAGATGCAGATAAGGGGTGGGTCTACACATCAGGGCTTAACTCAAAATAAGTATGCAAACTGAGCTACATCAATTGTGTAGCTTATTTCAAAATTGAAATTGGGAGCATCTTAACAGCACTTATTTTGAAATAGAGCATTCTTCCTCTGGGTTCCCTTACTCCTTGTACAATGAGGGTTATAGGAGTAAGAGAAGTCCTCTAACATAATAGTATTTTGACTTTTCAAAATAACTGCCGTCTTGTAGATGTGGACTAAGTTATTTCAAAATAAATTGCATTATTTTAAAATTGTGTTGCTGTGTAGATGTACCCAGGCATGCAGTGGGTTTCTCAAGAGCACTTATCCAAGTTAGGTGTCTTAGTGAGATTACATGGATTTAAGTGCCTGAATTACTTTGGTAAATTCTCACTAAGACTGTGTCTAGACTGGCAAGTTTTTCCGCAAAATCATTTGATTTTGCAGAAAAACTTGCCAGCTGTCTACACTGGCCGTTTGAATTTCCGCAAGAACACTGCCGATCTCATGTAAGATCGTCAGTGTTTTTGCAGAAATACTGTGCTGCTCCCATCGGGCAAAAGCCTTCTTGTGCAAATCATTTGCTCAAGAGGGTCAGTGTAAACAGCACAGAACTGTTTTCCGCAGAAAAGCCCTGATCGTGAAAATGGCGATCGGGGCTTTTTTGCAGAAAACCACGTCTAGCTTGGCCACGGACGCTTTTCCACAAAAAGTGCTTTTGCGGAAAAGCATCCTGCCAATCTAGACGTGCTTTTTCCAAAAATGCTTTTAATGGAAAGCATTTTCGGAAAATCATGCCAGTCTAGACGTAGCCTTAAGTGTTTAGGCATGAATATCTGACCCATAACCCTTGTGGCCAAGTATTGATTTTACTTCCAGTAATTTAGTTGGAGGTGGATTCATTAGAAGTTAATAAGGCCTGGTCTACACTACAGCGGGAGGTCAAATTAGGATATGCAACACTAGCTATGTAATTAAATGTAATTAATTGATTATCTTAAATCACATTTCTGTGCTGTCTGCACAGCAGGAGGTTGACATTAGCAAGTGTGTTGTTCAGCTTCCCTTACTCCTCGAAAGGAGCAGGAGTACTAGTGCCAACAGGGGCACCCTTTGAATTCAATTTAGCGGGTCTTTACTAGACCCACTAAGCTGAGCCCTGGAAGATTAACCATGGCGGTGTTGTTCTGCATAGTGTAGATGTTCCCTAAGAAAGAAATATAAACAACACCCCTTTCTGAAAATGTTTAAAGGTACCTTTTAGGAGACCTCCTAAGTAAAACAAAGTTGACATGTCTAATCCAAACCTCTTTTGAGATTTGACATGGAAAAATGTTACAACCTCTGACTTTTCAAACCATCATGGCACACAAACATTTTGTCAGATCACCTTTTGTGCATGTGTGTGAGACATTCAAAACGGGATTTATAATGGAAAGTATCTCACAATCTTAACTCTAAATTATAGTTTGGGGGAAATATGCAATTTTACTTTGCCTCAAATGCAACAACTGCAAAATTCCCCCGAGATGAAGATTCGTCTATTTGTAACTAAGGGGCTGTGTCTAGACTGGCATGATTTTGCGGAAATATTTTTAACGGAAAAGTTTTTCCGTTAAAAGTATTTCCGCAAAAGAGCATCTAGATTGGCACGGATGCTTTTGCGCAAAAGCATCTGTGCCCAGTATAGACGCGCTTTTGCACAAGAAAGCTCCGATGGCCATTTTAGCCATCAGCCTTTCTTGCGCAAAAAATTAAGGTGCCTGTCCATACTGGCCTTGCGCAAGTATACTTGCGCAAGAGGGCTTATTCCTGAGCGGGAGCGTCAAAGTATTTGCGCAAGAAGCACTGAATTCTTACATTAGAACGTCAGTGCTCTTGTGCAAATTCAAGCGGCCAGTGTAGACAGCTGGCAAGTTTTTGCGCAAAATCTTGCCAGTCTAGACGCACCCAGGGTGTTTTTGTTGGAACTTTTAGTAGTGGAAGATAAATCATTTCTTGCAGGATTGCATGGTTTTTTTCCTCAAATAATATAAAAACAGAAATATGGGACAGAAAGAATTCTTTCTGGAATCCTTACCTCCTCCATCTTGAAGAAAGCATTACTGCAGGAGACTCAGTTGTTATACAAGAATCTCCTCTTCCCATGACTCTGGGTCATCAAAATGGTGACTTTCAGGTATTCCTAACAAAAATCAGTAGGTTTATGCAATATATGAGATTTGCAGATGGAAGTAAATGATGATGAGGTCTTGGAACTTAACTACCCATGCTGCTTCTCTTTCAGTATTAAGTGCAATTTTGGATATTTATATGGTACCTGTCACTATCATAAGAGTGCATCTCAATCTTTATTGTATTCATTGAGAAAAATGTTATTAACATAGAGTTAAGTTTGCCCCCATGCCTTCCAGAACATGGTTTGCTACATTCTGGACTCTGAAAATCAGGAAATACATAGCTGAGGTAAGCACCATCTCCTACAACACAACCTTAACTCCACCCTATGAGTGATGCACCAGCCGACCAATAAAATCTATACCAGTGTTCTGCCTTTACAGCTGTACAGACCATTTGGGGAACAGAACATATGGGCACTGTAGAACAGTATCTATCTTCTCTTTGGTAAGGTGAAATTTGCATTTAGGTTAAGCATAGCTCCTGTTCCTATTCTATCCTTCACTCAAAAGAATGAACCCATTCCATGCAAACCAATCCAAACTTGCTAAGTGTTATAATTTCTTCACTAAATTGCTGCCATTTCTCATCACAAAAACACTCTTGTTCACACCTACTGATATGACCTACAGAACTCAGTGCTGAAATGGGACACGCTTGATGTCTCAAAGTACGTGTGCACCTGCCCTCAAATCACAGTGACAGCTGTTCCAGCCTGTTCCAACTAATCTCCCCCACTCCCTTAATATGCCTACACCTAATGTGATGAAAGTAGCAGATAATTGTGGTGTTAGATTTGAATTCCAGCAAACAATAGCATGTCTCTTTGTCACTCCTAGTTACGGCACTGACCTTACTGAGTCACGCCCAGGGCTATTGCCAGTTCCAGAGGCTTACAGTTCAGGTTGCAGTGAGGGAGTGACACGTACTTGAATGATATTTCATGCTTTTTCAGATGTTTGTTTGCATTACTTTAACCTTTTATTTGAGTTTCTTTTTTTAATAGAATAATTGTTAAATTTAGTGAGGTACAGTAAAGTAGGTTTGTAGGTAGAACTGAGGACAGAACCCAAGTCTTGTTCCATATGTGCTTTTCATCTTTTAGCTATAATTCTGACTTGGAGTTCCAAACTTTGTCCTTAGTTTTTTCAATATTGCTTCTCCAAAGCATTTGGATGGTTCTTAGCTAAGAAAAAACCCCATGTTACTTACTAAGATTTGTTCAGAGAGAATTGGAACCATAGTTTGAGCCCTAGTTATGGCCAAATAATCAGTTAAAGAACCAGGTAATTCTGTAAAATGCTGAAGGTTGGGGGCTGTATCTTGGGAACTCTGTGCTTAAATTATTCCAAATGTGGAATTACCCAGCACTATGGTGAGACAAAACATTTTCAAGAGGCTCCAAGTAAGCATGCGTATTTGGGAAACCTTACAACAGTTCATGTAGAAAGTGA